CATGCTGCCTAAAAACATTGGGTATTTGTTGTAAGATATTTTATATTTTTATGAAAAAAAGATATAGATAATCCTGTCGATGATCATAATCCAAAATAAACTTCAGGTCAATAGAGAGTTTGTGGTTCCTTTCCAAGTTAAAAGAGAAAGATATTTAATCATTTCTTGTCTTTTTGCGGATCCAAATTACAACATTTACCCGTTCTCTTTTTTTAATTAACCCTACCATACAAATCGAATGTCGTCTGCATCTTTTAACCTACTTGTGAGGTTCATGAGATGAGAGTGAGATGAGGGTTCAAGAGAGTTTGTAAAGACAAAAGGTAGTAAGAGGTTCACGGGTGAGGAAGAGAGAGGGAGTATTTCTAAGATTTGGACAACAACATCATTAGAAAAAACAAAAAGATAAATATTATAATTTAGAAAATAAAAAGGTTAAACTTCATTTTCTTTTAACTTGAAAGGATTTATGGGATTTATATAAACCTGAGCATTTACTTTATATTATAATTACATAGAGCGAGTTATTCATTTTTTTTTTCTTATTTTCTTACTATTACTTTTTATATTTTTATCTAAAAATTCCAGTCTTGAGTCTTGACTAGCTCATGTTCAATTTTGACAACAACTATGAATAATTTGGTGGTAAGTTAGCACAAAGGATAGCAAGTTTGGTCAAAAGTCTAGATGGCATCTCCCTCTCTAGATGGAAACAAAATCTTTGCCAAGATAGAAAGGTGGACCTTGGTTATATCACATCACAATGGGATGTTCATGTATTGTAGTCCCGCATGTGGACCCATTGTCTTCCATCCTTCCAACCAACAACATGCCGTTGCCCTCCATTGGAATGGGACCACTTTAACCTTTTCTTATTCTTAAACCAGGGCGTGGAAAATGCCACCAAAGAATAGGACATGCCATCTTTATCTCATACGCATGCGTTTATTGTTTTACGATTCAGCTCAACTAATTTTTTATGATATATTTGTTTTTCGTTCCTACAGGATTTACTGTTCATTTACTCTCTCAAGTAAAACCCAATTGAGGCGTAATTTTAAAATTTGAGGATGAAAATCTTCATACTGCGGACTAACCTCGACACAAAGTTCTTTTTTTTTTTTTGTTCTGATTGTACTCTTTATGCACTTGAAGAAAAATAATGTCTCAAGATGGAACAGAGGCCATTCAATTTTTGGAGGATGAAATCTAAGCGTCAAATAACTCAAAATTGCAAAAAAAATTCTTTTGAAAATAATTATCTAATGATTCTTAGGTCATTTTCAAAAAACCCTAAGTAGGTTTGCTAACTAAGGGATTAGATGTTAAGATGCTCGTGAAGGAGCATAGCATAGGCATTTGTTTTGTAATTGCTGAGTACTATTGCATGTGATCGCCATTGAAAGCATAGATTTTGCCCTTCAATGGATTTGGGATAAGAGAGAAAGAGATGAATAGATTTTTGTTGCAAACATTTCAAGGGAAGTTATCTCAATAGTAAGATGCTTCCCTCCTTAATCTCACGTGGTTAATAATCTCAAACTAAGAGATTTATGAGTATATTATCCACATACTCCCTCAGGCAAAACTTATATTAGAAATATACTTTAAGGTCCTAAATTTTGGGGATGTAATCTCTAGAACCCGACAACCAACTTCAAAGAAAAAAACAAAAAACTCTTACTAAAAAAAAATGGTACCCCAAAATTGCACTAGAACCATCGACTTTTTGGATGGAATGATCAACATGTTCAATAACTCAAAATCTATTTTTATTTGAAAATGATCATCTATTTATAATTATAAATATCCCAAAATTTAAAATAAAAAAAGTGCCCAAGCAAGTGCCTTGCCTGCGGGAATAAATGTAAAGTATGCTCCCAAAAGAGCATAGCATACACACTCAAATGTCAATTCCATAATATTACTTTAGCATGCGTTTCTTGGCAAGCAGCGGCCTTACGATCGTTACCTTTTCGTATACAAACATTCACTTTTAGGTCAAATATTTTTTGTTAGGTGTTCACAATGTGAAACCCTAAACAAGGGAGTGTGACTTAAGAAAAAGTATTCCATGTTAGCAATTTCGATCTGGTACACGTATCTTGCATCTATGTAGTTGAACGGCGGATCAAAATTTGTGTAGCCAATCCCAATTAATTGAAAAAAAAACCCAATGGAATATTTAAATTCAAATTGAATTTTGATGGAAGCTCAATGGATACTCTGAGCTTAAAAGGATTAAGAGGTGCCCTTTAAGACCATAGAAAGATTGCGATTCTTGTGTGTCTCAGCCAATGAGGTAGAAGTCTTCATTCTACTTGGGTTAAAACTATTTAACAATTTTGAGATTCTCTAAATATTGTCATATGGTTTAAAGGAGAATGAGATATTTCTTCTGAGGCTTTTGCCTAAAATTAGAAAATTCAAGAAATTGTAAAGAAATGAAATCTAAGTTCAACATTATTACAGGGAAGCCAACAGAGATGTGTATGAATTAGGTAGAGGAGCAACATATCGCCCTATGATTATCACTAAAATATCCTATATAATACTTTATGAATATACTTTTGTAAATTTGTAAAGCATTTTTAATGAAAAATACCACATCAAATTCATAAGAAAAGACGAAGAGATTTTTATGACTTGCATAAGAAAGAGTACATACATAGTAAAAGAAAACAAAAAGTAAAAAAATGCACAGATGAGTGTTAAACTTTGTGAATTCGAAATTGGGATTCAAATATGCATTTTTAACAAAATAGAGGACATGTAAAAAGAAAGAATGTGGCTTGGGCTTAATTGGTTAGCAATTACGTTTACAACACTACATCTTAAGTTTGATTCCTACCATTAACACAAAAGAAAGAAAAAAGATGGTACATCCCAAGTTTAGATTATCAATTGTTAAAAAAAAAACAAAGCAAATTGTTTGAAGAGCACATAATACATTTTTTATAAAGGGAGAATTTGGACCACACCCCACAATTCATGCAAGTGGTCTTGTTCCTGGTGGCAGTGGCTATGATGCTCTTCACTTAAAAGTAGTAGAAAATTTAAGAGCACTATTGGTATCTTGTTTCTTTACTCCCTCCAACTAAAAATATGATTTGATATAAGCAACTTTATAACATTTTGAAAAGGGTATATTCCCAATGCGTGGGTAATAAGTCCATAGGCCCAGATCTTATCTAACTAGGCCCATCTTTTTGGCAGTATTTTCTTGAAGCAAATTATTTTATCAAGACAAAAATGATTGTTAATCAAAGACAATATAAATTCATGTCCTCCTAACCCACCTTATTCCATTGGCTACAATATATATATTCAGGTATTTGATGAAAAGAAAAGTATATAATGAGACCATTTATTTTTGGTACAAAGTAGTCACAATTAATCTTGATCATTGGATGTGAAATTAGATGGCTATATTTATTCCATTGACCAAGCTCAAACTTCAAAAGAAATTTTCTCGAATTTTATGACACACCCAAGCTTTCAAAATTCACATCTGATGGTTGTATATAATTGTGACCACCTTATATAAGAAATGGTCTCATTGCATACAATCCCTTGAAATTTCCAAGTGTCTCCCAAGTTTTTGTGTTTCGAAACAAGAAACTTAGGGTGGCAACAGGTTGGGTCCGGGCCTAAACAGACCTGACCCAAAAATTAAAACATCTATGTACTTAATTATATTTAAATATTGGAAACTGAAAAAGACCAGAACCCACAAAGTCCAAATTTTTGACTTATATTCGGAACTCGAGTCGTGATTCGGGTCCGGATCCATTGCCACCCCTAAAGAATTGCCACTATATTATGATCCATATGACCACATACCTTTTATGATAATGTGCCATCCCAATCCAGTCTAAGCTCTAAGGACATGACTCCTAGTGGTAGGTCCCACTCCCTACATGACTATCCATCACTAGATGGATGGTGATGATGCCTTATGCCCTAGACCTTAGATGGTGAAATGAATAATAATAGGAAAATCATAGTGTGCTTGACTATTATTGAAAGCTTGCATATGTTATCCAATATTAAATAATTCACCTACCTGGAGGAAAAAGAAACCCTAGGTTTGACCACTTGGCTTTTGTAGATTAGATATGAGGGCAGTTACACTCAGGAGTTGGACTCAAATCACTTACTACCAAGAAAAACAAACATAGAATTAGGGTTTGAACCATACTTGCTAATTTCTCAAAATTGACTGCTTTTCTGACCAATATTTTATGTACTTGTTCACATGGCTTGCATGCTGATTATCACACTTCAAAAAGTTGATATTCTCAAAGAAGGTGATCAAGTGCATTCTAAGGGTATTTTGGTAATTCAACAGTCAAGATTAGGGTTTTTATAGTTGATATTCATCATTAGTAAAAGCACATCCTGTTTTAAGTTTTCTATAAAAAATTAAAGATAAAATATTTGAATTGCCCTTGGGTGGATCTCTAAGTAAGTCAGACTTTGGGTGCATTGTTTTGTATCAAATTTTTGAATATTTTTCTTCAAATGGAAAATAAAATTTAAAATATCAAACATATAGTTTTTTGAACAAGAAGTTCATGTTTTTCCTTTTGTGGATGCTAGATCTCACTCTTTTAAAACTCAAAATTATCATTATTTTTTATACCTTTTATTAGTGATGATGAGGTAATTAACACAATTAAAAATTAAACTTTGTTTTTAAAATGAAATATCTATATTAACCACATTTTCACTCTATTAGAGAAGTCTATGCATAAACTTATTTTAAAATCTTAATCTAGAAAATGCGATGCTCTATTTTCCCAAAAATTAAAATATCAAAAAGTCTGGCTCTCCAATTTATTGCAGTCAAGACCCCCTTTTCTGCGTTTATTTACTAAGTTTTTTTATTTTATTACTTGAAAAATAAAAAAAAGTTTATATCATTTTTTAATTAAAATATTTCATGTTTTAAAAGCCAGAAAAGGAGGAGAGGCATGTGATGTGTGCATCCCCCCTTCTGACCGCCTATTTTTGGCATGCATCTCTCCCTTCTTTCTCTCTCCTCTCTCTCTCTTTTATCTCTCTCTCCTCTTTTATCTCTCTCTTCTTTTTTCGCCTCTCAATTGCCTGTAATTACTCAGAACAAAAGACGCCATTAAAGCTCTTACCAATAGGCAAAGAGAGAGAAACCTTGATATAAAGATTCTAGAGAGAGAGGGAGAGAGAGACAACTTTGAGAGAGAATCTATGGTGAGGGAGGGAGAGAACCTTGAGAGGGAAAATTAGACCTTGCACCTACCAGCCATGGAGGTATGTACGGACGACAGGGCCCATAACGTTGCTAACCATTCAAAGGCACTTATCGCTCCATTTATTTTCGATAATTTCTATCTTTCTTCACCGTCCCAATATCTCTCTCTCTCTTCTTGATGTATCATTTTTAGCACGCCCATTGTACGGTCATGTGTCTCTCACTTTGCCTTTGGTGTTTTCCAATTCCTTGCAACTTCATGGCTTCTCTGCAAATTTCATGGAATTGGGTTTCCCAGGCTCGTTTCGTTGAGTAACTTTGATAATTACAAAGGAATATGCAATATATGAATGATCCGAGACATGGGTTGCTCTTGCATGAGGATGTAAAAAAAACATTTGTGGGTTTCGGACTACATTTAGATAATATTACAGTGCTTGAAAATGAATTCATATTGATGAGTATTTTATTTGGTCATTTGGGTGCCCGAAAGAATTAAGGGAATGATTATGAGAAACTTGTTTTTTGTTGGTTGGTTTTCTCTGAGAGATATTCTTTTAATTACACATTTTTTCGTTTTCGAGATTATGGTGGGTATCTCGACTCATTTGCTGTGATAGTTTTCTGTATGTTACAAGAAAGTGCTTTGAAGGAGAAGAGTTTTTTGGGTATGGATCTGGGCTTGGAGAATTTGAGGAATTGACTTTATCCAGCGAGTTCCTATTTGTGATATATCAAAGATAAGAGATTGATTAAGATTAGCTGGTGAATTTTTTACTGGTTTTTTGGTTTTCTGGATGTCGGGTTATATGACTTGATCATATGCTTCAGAAGAGTATCATTGGGTGAAGCATTGGGTAGTTCTTGAAGAAGATTGTTTTCGTGGATGTCTCCATTTTTTGCACTGGGGTCTTGAGAGTGTTCCTTTCTGATGGATTTTCTAGACTAGCTTTTAATTCGAGGGGTTTCATGAGAGTTTAGGGACGCGATATAACTGAAAAGTTGGTTGGCTTTGGATGTTTTTAGTGTTACATGTGGAGTTCATTATGAGCAGGGTTGATATGAATCAGTAGCATTCTGAAGGTGTGTGTATCCTTACTCAGAGTTGGTTGATTTTTATGAACACTTGGTGTTTCAATTTTAAAGTTCTCATGATCCATTGGGGAAGGACCATGGCTTGTTGTTTGACTAGTTGAAGGATATAAAAACTCTTGTTTAGTGGGAATTAAGAGTTAGCAACAAGTTGAATGAATGCATGAGGATATAATGGAATCTTTAGAGAGAGAAAATGATTCTGTTTCCCCAGTTTTACATCCAACAACAGAAGAGGTTGCTAGGGTGGCTGTTGAAGCTGTACAGAGTGTTCGTCCCAGACCTTCTACTGTGATTTCGTCCAAGCAAGAGAATAACAGTTTTCAAAGATGGAAGCGCCAAATGCAAAAGGCCTGGAAATGGGGGCAAAATCCTAGAGATCAAGGGGGCAAATCATCCTTCAATCCCGAAATTTTGGCAAATCAAAAGCGTCAATGGTACCAGCTCCACTCACATGCACTGGTAAATTGCTTCTAGCTTTGAATTTGTTTTTCCACTGATGTATAACGTCTCATAAATATCTTGTTCTCATAAAATATTATTCACTTAACTTTGTAGAGTTCCTTGTCATTCATTCATTTATTGCTGAGTGCCAAGAGTAGTTACTTGCCGATCGGAAAAGATAAATAGTGAATGTCTTGTGCTTGTGCTTGCATGTATGCATGCCTATGTTTCTGTTATTCCCAGATTATGGATTGTAGACCCACAACCAAAATATTTGTCCCACTGCTATAGGGTACAATTGCTCTATTGGGACTTCACTACTGTATGTGTTCTCTTAGTGGGTGATACACTCATGATTTGTGGTGCTTGATCATTAATTTGGCCTTTGCCTTCATATCACTCGATTTTGTTGGCTCATACTTTTATGTATTATGCAGGAGCGCAAACAATATAGTGAACCAACATCCCTATTTGAGCACTTTGTCATTGTGGGCCTTCATTCAAATGCCAATGTTGAGGCCACTGAAGATGCATTTGCTAGAAGGAAGACTTGGGAGTCAGAGATGGCGAAATCTGAAATAATAGATTTAAGAAACGCAAAGCTTCAATACCGTGGTCCTCCCCTCCCTGCTTTGGAACCTCAGGTTTGAATTTTAGCTTAGATGTTATGCAGTTTTGAGAATTCGCCTGTGTCCCTCACTCCCGCTTTCAATGAATGTCACTCACTTACACTATCACACTTAAGTTACACAACACTCATAGCTGCATGATAAACATTTAATCCAATACCAAATTCATGGACAAACAATATCGGTAATATTACCTGTCAAAAATGCAAAATACACATTTTTTGTTTTTTGTTTATTTTTCTATTTTTTGGGCCTTGAACTCAAGTTGGCTGCCTAGGCACTCAGGAGTCAGGACCTGAAACTACCTAGGCCTGCCTTGTGTTTTTTAGTCTACCTGCAATGCTTATTATTCCTTTTCTTCTCATGTGCTTAATATAATTTTTATTAGCAAAACGTTTGGTTGCATCCTTATTTTTTCCTTTTTTCTTGGATAGGTCTTAAAGCTTTTCATTCATTGTAAAGGAGAACATTTACATCTTGATACATAGCAAATGCATGTTATTGGCACATTAAGAGGTAGTTCTGTTATTTTCCTGAAGGTCAACTTCGCTCTTAAAACCCCAAATAATGGGAAGGAAGTTTATTAAATAAATAATCATGGGGAAGTAATCCGATGCCTTCCCTATTAGTATGGTTAAAGAATTGCTGTCTTCCATGGGTGTAGAGGCTTATGTCATACTCCCACCTAGTCATGTTCAACGGATCACCTTTGGCTAGTAGTAGACTAGGAAACTGCTAAGGGAACAATCTCAACTGGTTTATAACTGAGCACTCTCATTTGTGTTGCAGTACAGTTGTAAACAGCTAGAATAACTGCAAAAGCCTCGTCTAAGAGTTCTTTGCATTATTTGAACAAGCTTCCTATTCTAAATTGATTCGGATTGCAAGCAAACTGCTATTGAAGTTCAACTCCACAGACCTATGCACCATAATGTCTGCCCCATTTGGAACCCTTGGAAAAATCGTCTAGAAAAAGGGCATTTCCTGTGAAATGCATTTCTTGTGAAAAATATTTCTTGTAACTGGATTTTTGGAAGTTTGGATAGCATTTGGTTGCACCATGAAATATACATTTTTATCATGAAAAGGGGTTAAATGCAATGAATCTCTGGAGAGGAAAATATGGTAGACAGAGAGAGAAGGAAATGGCTAGAGCAAGATGGAAGTAGAAGGAGAGTTATATAAATGGGGGGGTGGGGGGAGAGAGAGAGAGAGAGAGAGAGAGAGAGAGAGAGAGAGGAGAGAGAGAGAGAAAGAAGAAACAAAGATATAAGGATTTTTGAGAATGAGAAGAAAGAAAGATGGTTGGGGGAGAGAAAGAGAGAGAGAGGAAGAGATTGCCCTTTTTTCTCTGGGCCCAACTTGCAATACACTCGTTTTAATTTTTTTGGTTCAGCTGTAAGGAAATCTGACAGGGAAATTGATTTTTTAGCTTGTAGAGAGAAACCAATTTCTCTATTTTGGGCTCAAAGTAGAGAAAATGATTTTTTGGCAGAAAAAATTTCCCCAGATTTTGGATCCAACCGGGGGAAATGAGCAATCTCCCTAGAAAACTATTTCTTGGTAATATTTTTCCAGAGATCCAATCGGGCCCCAAGTTCATATTCTCATTAAGCCTAACCACCCTCTATTTTTGTATCAATTTATTTTGCCCAATATCTTGAGTCTTTCTACCTTCATGCTCCCATTGGGTTACCGATTCCCGAGTTCTTCTTTATCACTTATCTATTAGTTGCAGGACTTCTGAATACTTTTGGTTGGTTTTTATCTTCTTTCAAATCCCTCAAAAGATAAAATGGTGAGCATCTTCGAAGGAATTCACCCTCTAATAGGGAAGGGAGCCAAACCTCGTATGCTATTTGCCATCTTTGGCTTCATCCCATGTATGCCATACAGCTTTGAGAAGCAGCTCCAAATGATTCTTTGACCTAACAATTGGTGCGTAAATGATCCGTTGTCTCCTCGTAATCTTTATGCATGAAATAAACACAGAAAGTGGAAATTGTGATGGAAATGATTCCCCTATGTCCTTCTCATTTTTGGCTCATGAGTGCTGTGGAGGTTTCTGCTTGTTGACGGTTCCAAGCCCCATAACTTGGTATATGATAGCCACTTGTTACATTTTTTCCACTTACTCTTGTCCTTTTGCTTCTGGCCTCTGCTCCCCCCGCCCCCTCTGCTTGTTGACGGTTCCATGCCCCATAACTTGGTATATGATAGCCACTTGTTACATTTTTTCCACTTGCTCTTGTCCCTTGGCTTCTGGCCTCTGCTCCCCCCGCCCCGTCTCTCTCTCTCTCTCTTCTCTTCTCTCTTTCTCCTTCTTTCTCTATCGCTCTCTCTCTTTCTCTCTATTCTATATATCTATCTATCTAATGTATATATGGGATATTCTAGAATACACCATACTAATGGTGAAATTAGAATTTCCTCAAAATTTTTGACAATAAAATGCCTTTACAAATATAAAAGTTATATTACCAATAGCTTTTTTGAAAATTTCGAGAAGGGGATATTTATAATTTTAAATTGCTTTGAAGATCCACTCATCATTCAAAAAGTCAAAGGAATCTTTTTAAATTGAGTTTTAGAGGGATTTTGAAAAGACAAAAATAACCTTCCTAAAATACATGAACTATTTGTAGTTAAAAGTTTTTGAATACATAAGAGCATTTTAGGTTAAAAGTTTTGAAGTGGTAAATTCTCAAATCACCATTAGTGTGGTGTATCTATGGTCCCATATTTGGCATTTCCTGAATTGCTTGTTCTGTATTAGGGATCGTCGAAATAGGCAAGAATACTGTTTTTATATAAAATATCTTTTATGGGTATTTAATCACAATACCAGGAGGAGTTAGTAACTTCTCCCATGATCATATTGGAGTGGGATGATGAATTTCTCCTCTTCCCCACTAAATCAAAATTCTTGTGGAGAATGATATATGGAATCCCAATTCATGTTTAATATGATTTAATCAGGCCCTGAATAATGGTGATTTTAAAATTTACTACTCCAAAACTTTTGACCATAAAATATCCATGTGTTGACCAATGATTTTTGACTATAAATAGTTCATGTATTTTAGGAAGGGTATTTTTGTCTTTTCAAAATCCCTCTAAAACTCAACTTCAAATTTAAAAAGATTCCTTTGACTTTTTGAATAATGAGTGGATCTTTAAAGCAAATTTAAAATTACAAATATTCCCTTCTCGGAATTTTCAGGCAAGATATACATACATATATATTTGTATGCACTATTTGCAACTTATGTATATACTGTTCTTTCTTCCCATATTTTCCATTATGAGAATCTAATACAATAGTGCTAAAACCTTGGTGGGGTCATGATGCACTAGACAAAACCAATCAAAGAATTTGTAAGGTTATGAGGGGAACACTTACATGAAAAACCCATGATCTATCTGTAATCCAAATTGTCCCATTGGTCTTTACTATTGGAATAGAGCTTCCCCTCAACCTAATCTGCATGCAACTTAATAGTCTCCTTGTTTCCGAGATACCTTCTCTAATGTGGACATTATACTCCTTGAGGGGCCCTGTCCACCCACTTAAAATAGTTTGTGGGCCTCAATTTGGAATCAATGGGGACCTCTATAAGCATCGAGAACTAACAAAACACCTATCTCATCTCCATTGCTTTGTACAGAAAATTTTGGAGCATATGGCTCATCTGCTTAGAGCTCTCGAGACAGAAAACAATACCCAATGAAGTACAATAGATGTTAACTCATAAGGTATCTGTTGGTTTGCCCTGCATTATTGTCCTTGCTGCCTTCATTAGTGTCACGATAGTATGGAAAAGATTCAAATCAGAAATGTGAACCTTGCTTCCTATTTGGATTTTTATGTTTGGAGCGTACAAGAACCAATTTCATTGAACTAAGAAGTTTGTCACGTATATTTAGTTGAGGTTGCATTTGAGAAGATTGTTTTTGGAGGTCATTTCTATAATGTTAAATGGTTCCTTTGTGTGGTTCCTGTTTTGGCATGGTCTAGCTCCTGCTTTTGATTGTTATTGCTGCTTTGCATGCTTAATAATTTTGCATCATCAATATCCTGGGCCTTTGTTTGTTCTATTTTCAGATTCTTTTTAAGTATCCTCCTGGAAAGAGGTTGGCAATGCGGGCAAAGGATCTTCCTGCCTTCTGCTTCCCCGGAGGAGTGAAGGTTGGCATATGAGAAGTCTTAATTCTATTTCAATAGTTTGGTCTCACATTAATGCTCTGTTCGTATGGATTATTTGTAATGGGGATGTTTTGATGCTCTTTTTGTTTCAATTGTTTGGTTTCACACTAATGCTCAGTTCATATGTATTACTTGTGATGGGACTGCTTTGATACCTTTAGCTTGCTAGTATAATAGTATTATCTATTAGGTGCTGCTCCTATATTTATGTTGAAAGACTATTACTGCTAGAATTGAAAATGGTAGAAAGTTTCTAATGGAATTCTTTCTGTCCTGTGTTTGCTGAAAAGTTAGTTCTTGATAGATATCTCTTATTGCAATTATTGTTTACATACAAGATAAAATATAGTCACTTCTTGTTCAGCTTACCATCTTATCTACATGCAACTTGTGGGATTTGTGCCTCCTGGATTATGAGATGTTCTCTCTTTTTTCTCTTTTTAGCTTGAGGAATGTGTGTGTATGCGTGTGGTGATTTTTTGTAGGCCCATGAACTTGCTTCTAAAGATTTAGCTCATGGGTCAATTCCAATTGACTTGAAAATTTGCACATCATCTCTATCCATCTTAGTGATCTACATCAACCATGCACACACAAAAAGGAAAAAGCGGGGGTGGGGGTGGTGGGGGGGAGATCACACCTTTAAAAAAATTCAAAATCATACCCCCAATAGTCCATTTTGGGGATGGTTAGATCTAGGGATTTACAAACTCAATATCTCCCCCACCTCCTCCCCTGCCGAAATTGTTCATCTGGGGAACTAAAGTTGTTTGGCAAGGTCTAACAATCCCCTATGGTGTTTGGCCCTTAAGCTGACTGGCATATGAACAGTCAGATTTAATCATTCAAATGGTGATTCAATGTTGTGTTTTCATGTCAAACAAATCTCCTAACTAGGTTTCGGGCATGAGCTAAAAGCATAAAACTGTAGACATACGCTCATGGGCTTACCAAATATTTTGTGTGTCTGTGTGTGCGTTTGTGTGTGTGTGTGTTCGGACGTGCATGTGTGTGTGGATAATGATCATATGAGCCCGTGGACCTATGGAATGGTATAGGTTTGACTACTAGTTTGAATCTCACAGAAATGAACAAACATGTTAGAAAATTTTTCATAAAAAGTAGGAGTGCAATGGACCGCAAATTTTGCACGCATGTACCCCTCATATAGGCAATTCAAATAATAACAAAAAATCAATAAGCACCAAAAATGTAGGCCAAAATGTTTCACCATTTTTAGTTGAATATAGGCTGTTCAAATCGCCTAAGGCAGCACTCTTGCTTGTAGAGGTAAGATTGAAGTGTGCGTGTGTGTGTGTGTTCGTGTGTAGGGTGTGGTTTATTTAAGGCGGTAAGCTTGCTTGTAGAAGTAAGGTGGTTTGTTCTACACATCTATTCTAGTTGGATAGTGTAGACAATGTCAAACCTACTCCATCCGTCTAAAATCGACAATGTAGATTGCTGCAACCTTACATGATGTAAGGTTGCTGCCTTATATAAACTTTCCTTTAAGGATTCAAAGTCTGTTTTTTCTTTTATTTATTTATTTATTTATTTATAGTGATAATGAGGGCATTTATGAAATTTGGGTCAAACAGACCTCTCTCAAGCCTGGTTCTTATATCATTTTTTATGTAGGAGAACTTGAAGAACATAAAAGTCTTTTTAGAAAGCACCTTGACACAAGCAATTTTGGATAAACCCTAATGCTTTCTCTCACCTATGGCTCAAGCCTTAGGCTTATTTTACAAGACAAAGTCTTTTTTTTTCTTAAAGAGGAATACATGAATGCCTTTCCAACCCATCCACGCCCTTATTTATAATAGAAAATTATTGTTTTGGATAACATTTGTCCATACAATTAAGTTTTGACCAAAATGTCATAACTTAACTATAACTTGAAACTAAACTCCCTAACTTTAATTAAAATATTTAAAAAGTCCCTAGAGTTACTAGAAATTTAAAAACCCTAAAACTAAAATCAAAATATACATCTTTTAAAATTGAATAGAAATTAAAAATCCCTCCATCATTCTCTCTTGGTTGGAGAAAACTCTTCTTCGAGTTTTGAAGTGTGCTAAGATGAATTCAGTGTCAAAACCACCTTCTTCAACCTTCTTCTTCTTTGTTGGTTAAAAGATTATTTTTAATAAAAAAATTCCTCAAGAAATGGATCCTGAAATGTATATTGAGGAATTAAGGCCACAATTTGCAGATTCTTAATCAACCATGCTTCCATTGTACTACTCTGATTCCAATATCGTATATTTTTTGAATGCTCTATCTCTTCAATATTAATAACATCTTGAAAGGCCATGATTTGGATCAGTCCTCCTGTTGCCTTCTCTCCATATTCTTCACCCTCTTTCAAGATATCTTCACCATCATCTTGATCTTTATCATAAATCGAATCTCCTAAGAAATCTTGTTGTTTATCTGATTATTATCGAAGATTAATGGTGAATCTCAATCTACAATTTGCTGACTTTCCATGAAATCTGTGTCAAAATAAAAAATCCCATCCTTCAAATTGAAAACCCTAGAGTGACGCACCCCATGTCTAGGTCTCCTGTCGCTATCCTCATCACTCGACTCCACTCGCGGAGCGCAATGGTGAAAAGGGGTTGTATTCAAGATCCTCCTGGGCTGATGGGCTGACAGATGACCGTCTTGCCCATTATTGGGGGTCACGAATAGTTGTGTCAGCCACTGAACTTGTCTTTCAAGTTCTTCAATTCTCTCATCTTTGGGATCACGGAGCGGGTCCATGAAAATCCCCCTTCTATGGCCCCTTATTACTGCTATGTGTTTGTCGAAATCACAAACCCTAGTCAAATAATCAACAATAATTGTTGAAATCATTAAGATCTAGGTTGTTTTGGCAAAACGTTGGCCAAAATCAGCAAACCTTAGACCCCACTATAATTTTCTCTCTTTTTTGTTGATCTAGGGCACCAAAAATTGTGCTACAGTAAATTTCGCACATGCTACAATAACTTCCGTACTCACTCTTGCTACAGTAAATTCCGTGTAGGTCGCGGGCTCTAATACCACTTGATGTAGGAGAACTTGAAGAACATAATAAATCAGCAAGAAGCACATTGACACCAACAATTTTGGAGAAACCTTAAGGCTTTCTCCCACCTATGGCTCAAGCCTTAGGCTTCTTTTACAAGACAAAGCCTTTCTTTTCTTAAAGAAGAAAACGTGAATGCCTCTCTAGCCCATCCACGCCTTTATTTATAACAAAAAATTATTGTTTTAGATAACATTTGTCCATACAATTAATGTTTGATCAAAAGGTCCTAACTTACGTATAACTTGAAACTAAACTCCCTAACTTAAATTAAAATATCTAAAAAGTCCCTAGAATTACTAGAAACTAAAAAACCTAGAATTAAACCCTAAAACTAAAATGAAAATATTCATCATTTAAAATTGAATAGAAATTAAAAATAAGTATTATTTTTCGCTCCTTCAATTTTTTATTTGTTAAAATAAATGGTATGTATGCACTGAATTTTCGCTCTCCTCATAAAATAACATTTTTTGCTTTTTCTTTTTGGATTTAGTTTTACATGAGCTTGTTCCTTGGGATGAACAGTATGTTTTGAGGAGTTTTTGTGTGGAGCTATTGTTGTAGAAATTAACTTATGGGATTATGCAGTTTTTTCCCTATGGAGAATGCTTCACATATTATCATGACCTAGTTTTTTCACTGTTCCGCATTGCTTCTGCTAGGAACCCTTCTCTAACGTAAATCTTTTTCACCAGCGATATTGGATTGGTCTGGTTTTTTTGATAGCCTTATGAAAATGTTGCAGGCTCGTCTCATGGAAAGAACACCATCAATGAGCGATCTTAATGAAGTTGTATATGGCCAGGTAGGCATGCTTTATTTAAAATTATTTTCTTTTCATGAGTGATGTATAAATTTTTTTAAGTGGTGGGAATCGAATTTGGTGATCTAAATGAATGTGCATTTCTATGGGCGTATGTGCATTTCTTATGTCGGGTCATTTTCTTTTCAGGTATACTTGTTATGTTTTTTAACTTTTTGCATCTAAATTGGTTCTCTTATGTCCTATGGAATCCATTTGGCCCCTACTGCAATGAGTTCTAGATCTTATTTCCTGTATTTTTAATTCTCATTTCTGATTGGGAATTTCTTATCATGAATTTTTACTTGCAGGAGCACCTATCTAGGGATGATTTATCGTTTATATTTTCTCTCAAGGTTAGTCGTGTGGTTGTCATTACTATATTGTTTCATTATTATATTGTTTAGTCACACTTGATTGTTGTGGTATAGAATACCGTGTGAATGATAGAATCCATTAACTTTTAGTGCCGTGATTCACTCAATAATATATATCTTGTCATTATGGAAATTGAACTTTGTTGGTACTGCTTTGTATGGGTACTCGAGGACAGTAAACAATTACTTGAAATACGCCTAATGGATAGATTGAATATTATTGCTGCGACATAGACGTTGCTTTCACTCTAATTGAATACTTCATACTTTTCTTGATCTTTTGCGATATGGATCTTCCAGGATAGTCCTTTCTTATGCTTCTTAAGCTGAGTTATGGGTTGAAGTTTCTCCAATACATTTTATTTTGGATCACTTGGTGTGTCTCTCATACCATTAGTTTCTGGTTTACTTTTTGGGGTAGAATGAAATATAAAGCCACAACCTGAACCAAATAAATCATGCAATTGCAATGCAATAGAAAATACATGTTATCATCGATAATTAGGAGCGACCTGGTTAAGTTGACTTATTTGGCTTGGTGAAATCATATAACCTGGGTAGTGAATAAAAAAATTCCTTTTGCATTTGTTTTACTGCGATTTGTATAGGCCTATAGCCTTCCAAAAATTAGTTAGGTTGATATTCTCCGTGTTCTTTGTTATATTTTTGCATATGCTCTGATAGAGGATATTTTTTATTTCAGAGGGAATGCAAAATTGGTTTCATTTTTCTTGTAGTTCAACTGGGGAACATGACTAAAATAAAGCTTCTAATTGTTACTCTTATGGCACATTTAATTTCTGGAACTTTCTAGCTCTGCTGGTTTCTATAGCACATCCATGTTTGATAACAGGAAATGCTAGTGGGTGGCCTGTCTGGAACTTCCAATTTCCACAAAAAGTGGATAGCACCAGTTCCATGCCCCCATTATGGAAGACTGTAGTTTGGAAATGGTTGATGTACTGTGGCATCATTGTAAATTTTTTTTCCAATACTATTTTTATTTTTGTTCTCTTAAAAATCTCATAGCTTAACGAATTTTGGAGATTTCGTTTGCCTCATCAGGGCACATCTCTAAAAAATATTAAAAAAAGAATTCAAGTAAATTAAAAATGACCAATATACCCCTCAAAGTTTCAGGAGTATTTTTGTCATTTTACTTGTTTCAAAATACTTATTTTATATTTTTTTAGGTGCATAAGAACTATAAGAGTGGATGCCCCAAATAATAGCTTATTATTATGTTTGTAAAAAAAAGATAAAATTAAAATGCTAATACATGGTATCAACCATCTGATCCTTGGGTTTTTAACTCTTTCAAAAGAAAAAGACATAGAACATTCAATGCGATGAATGGTGATGGAGAGTCAGTGTGACCTAGTAGAACAGGACTTGACCAATGATAGCTCCCATTCTCTCCTCCACCATCCATCATTTCATTGGATGGTGATGACTCAAATAAACTAGGAACGAACCCAAGGCGCGGGTTGTCAGGGTGGCAGAGCTACAGCGTGATGCCTCAGGTTTGATTCCTACCTTGTAACCTATCGACAAAAATTCAAAAAAAAGAAAAAAATGATGAAACAAAAAGAATACATTTTTGCAAGCAATTTAGGAAAAGAGCTATTACCTTTTTACTGGGAATAGAAAGTATTGGAACCCCACCCACCCAATAGGGTAGACAGTAGGACTATTCCCTTACCTAAAGGCAAGGAAGGTAGTAAGGAGCCTTACTCGTTCGGAAGCCTCACTCGTGGCACAGGGAAGACAAGAGTCTAGTACTACCACCTTACTAAGGTGACTATAGTACAACAGTCGGTGTAACAGAAGCATGTTATGGAATGCTGGGCAGTTGCACGTGCTTTTCATAGTTGTAGATCATAATCTCTTTGAAATGGGGTTTCTAAACAAGGTTAAAAAATCGTCACTCTGGATAAGGAATCACCGGTGACTGTGGCTACCCTCTGTAGGAATCGATGATTCACTGGTTAATACAATATAATATGTGCATTTCATAACAAAAAGTTCTAATGTGTGATATGGCTAGTTCCTGCGTTTGTCAGCATCAAGGTCAAGGTTCGAAACTCATGGGGTCTGCTTCTATTTTTTTAGATGTTCAACATTAATGAAACAATCATATATAAAGTGAGATGGAAAAAGTTACAAAAGATTTAAACATGTGATGTGGCTAGCATGTGTGTTTGTGAGTCTCAAGTTGTTCGAATCTCACGGGTATCTTTCAATTTTTTTAAATGTTCAACATTACAATAAGAAAATCATAAATACAGTAAGAGTGGGAAAAAAAATACATATAGGAAGAGTGCGGATTCCAACCCCCAACTTTGGGATGAAGGTCAAGGTTCCCCCCATGCAAATATTAACTTGTATATAAGTTCACTCCTTTTATATTTATTTTTTATTTTATTTTTAAATTTTTTGCGGATTGCCGTTCTTGCTGATCAGGCTTATCTAGATCGGGATCGGTGGATGGGTGTTACACACCATCATTCCATTTTTTTTAAAAAAATATAGATAATGATATTATTTACGTTTGGTACAAGGAGGTCACAACTACTATTGAACGCTAGATGTGAAATTGGGTGGTTGGGAATATGTCATTGACTAGGCACAATGTCCAAAACAAGATATCTCGAATGTTGTGACGCATTTCAATGCATTAAATATCGCATCACATGGCTAAGAATGAATGTGACCTTCTTGTACCAAAAATAAATTGTCTCATAATATACAATCTCTTTTTTAAATCACTGGTTATGAACACTTATGTCTTAGTGTTTGAACAGGTAGCAGATAATGCAACATTATATGGTGTATGCTTACACGTCCAGGAAATTGTTCAGAGGCCACCAGGTATACTAGGTTCTGTTTCCCCACAATTCCAGTCTTCAAGTTCTAGTCGTTTTTTGGTGTCTGCGCCGCGTTGCTACTGCATACTTACGAGAGTCCCCTTTTTCGAGCTCCATTATGAGATGCTAAACAGGTGCATAAGTTCAACATCTTGCCTGATACTATGTTTTGTTTGTTCTCATAATCCTCTCTTTTTTCTTTTCATCATATTACTTCTTTACCAGTAGTGGTTTGCAAATGAGAAATGATCAATCTGTTGGGAAAAATATAGTATACTCCAGCAGACCACAGAAAAGCATTGCCTATTGGCATCATGATCATCCAACAGAATGATGGATGGAGGGGATAAGAGCGTGAACCATGCTCTGTTTTGAAGGGTACCACTCCATCACTGGCCATCCTTTTGTTTGAGGGTCATGACCGCAATGGACTGTGGTCTTCATAGTCTTATGGACTGTTGTATACTATTCTTTTTGTTAATATTTGGGGATATTCTGAAAAATCTTGTACACTCTTGTTTTATTGCTAGATATTTCATAGTTCCTCATCACAAGTTTTCAGTGGATACATACACATACACACCTATTGTGTTGGTTTGCATGTTTAAGTTTCTGTAACTACTGACATATTATTTTTGTGGATACAGTATAATTGCTCAAGAGCGCTTGGATAGAATAACAGAATTTGTTAACGAAATGACTCTCACAGATTGTGTTCCACCTATGGTTAAAGTTCGAGAGAGGGGAAACGAGATCCCCGAATCCCCAAATGGAGAAAACCTGAACGATTGGATGGCGTTTGCCATTCCTGTTGATAGTGTTTTAGGGCTTGCTGCTGCAGCAGCTGGTCTTATATCAGATAATGAAGTCCAATCATTTTCATTTCGGGCATCAGAACCTGTGTCACCAGTAAGCATCCCAGCTAGTGAGGCTTCTGATTTGAGTCAATCAAGGGAAATTGATAAGGACACCAGGAAAAGCATGCAATCTTATGATGGGTATGTATCTGAGTCTTCAGATTGCCCCTTTGATTCTTTTGAAAGGCAGAATGGTGGTTATGAGAATGGTCAGGCTTCACCAGAGGTTGGAACATTTCACTGCGCTACAGGTCGCACATTTGAACGTGTTGGAAGTTCAGAATCTTTATTTAGGTAATAATATATCATGATACTTGAACTTTTTATGTTGGTTATGCATGTATTCTGTGACTGGAATCCCTCTTTATAAACAAGCTATGTAAAACCATTCTCTATTTGGCTCATGGCCGTCTGATGAAATGATGGATAAGCATGGAGATAGAGTGCTCACTGCAGCAGGAGATGACCCAATATTCTCGATCGTAATTGGTCATTTCACTAGACAGGCATGACCGTGGCAGGTTATACTTTGCCATAGTTCAGTAAACCATTGTATATTCTTTCACTTATTTCTAAGATTTTCCTCAAACCCACTATAGTATTCAATATGGAATGTGTGTTTTTAAGCTCTTATGGAACTGCATATGGCATAACTCCAAATCTACCATATGCTTGTCGGCTAACTATACGAATGTTATCAAGATTGGACAACCACTGAACCGGTGAGGGGTCTGGTCTAGTCAAAACCATTTGATTGTCAATCGAACTTGTTGAACAGGATTTTCAAAACATAAAGAAAAATAAATAATAGTTTAAAACATAAAATATTTTGCAAAAAAATGTTCAACTTTTTTAACCGGTTTGACTGATCAAGACCATCATGCCTGAGTAGTATAAATGGTTAAACATTTGATCCGTTTTCAGCCAAACCCAGTATTTGCTTTGGATCGGACTGGTTGCCGGTGCAATGGGTCCGATTGGGCCGGATTGGTCCGGTCTTGATAACTATGAACTGTTCTGCATCATCGATGATTTACTTTACATAGAACCAGAACCTGCAGTAAGTCATGTCTTCTTGGTTTGTCAGACCTTTACTTAGGGAAAGCGCTAGACATTACCTGGAGATCTTCATAAATACCACTAAATTTCCTAACAGTGCCTTGGCTGGCCATTCTTTTTTGAAACAGTATTTCACCCTTGTTGGGTATCAAAGTACCAGTTTAGCATTTTCTGAAAATATTAGGCTGATTGATAAATCATTTTTGGAAGCTAATAACGGTCTGGAACTCTGAAATCTCGGAAGCACGTGCATGACTTATGCAGGTGTTCCAGGTATTGCTTTATTATTCTCCCTTTCTTTTAACATTTTTGGGGTATTTCTCCTTCCCTATTCTCCTTCAACTTGGGTTTATAGCTTAACTGGAAACTTTCTCTGGGGCTCAGTTCAGTGAGAAGCATTGGCTCAGAAGATGATGATGTCGATGAAGTTAACTCTGGTGCTGAAAAGAATATTAGTGACGAAGAAGTAATGGACTGGGCTAAGGTAAATTCTATGTTACGTTTGGAAGTTGAGTTCTTTGTAGCATGTGTGCCTAAAGTTTATACTGATCTTTTATGGGGAAAATGGCAATAGGTGCACAAAAATGATCTGCTGCAGATAGTTTGTGGTTATCATCAATTCCCCATACCATCACGGGGAGAAGAAATAGTTTTCCAGCCATTGGAGCACCTGCAACCAATTAGATATAGTAGACCCAGTGTTCCATCCTTGGGTTTAGGTGGCAAGTATGGTGATACAGGGTCTCCTCGTTCATTGTTAGAAATTGCTGAGGTAAATTTCTACAATTTCCTTTTCCATTGTTCTATTGTGAAATGTATTGGCGATAGTTTTATTATATTTCAATGCTAAGAGGTAAATAATTTTCTCTAAGGTGAATGCAAAATTAGCGGCTGCTGAGGAGGCTTTCGCTCTCTCTGTGTGGACCACTGCAACAGTTTGCCGTGCATTGTCTCTTGAAAGTGTAATTTCTTTTCTAATAATTTGTTGTCATTTGTTTGGAGTGCAGTAATGTGCTTAACTCTTTTATATGCCCAAATTTTCAAGATGGCTGAAGCAGCTGCCTTGATATCTAGGTGGCCCAGACTGAAAGGGGGGATTCCATGCACCATAGAGTGGTACTTGGGGGGTTGGGTTGCAAACCATTCCGCCCCCGCCAAAAAAAATAACAAAAAAAATGCAGTAAGAGTACACTTTTCTTAAAAAAGTACATTGTATTGCTGAACTTTTAGTTGTATTGAAAGAATGTGTTATAAAGTCTCAAAACAATAAAGTAGCAAGAAACTATTTAATCATTTAGAAAAAAAAAGAAAGAGCAATTCCCCAAATATGTAAAAATTTACTAATAAAGTAGAAAAAGTTACTATGATGCGCGACTTTTATCGACATTTTATTAGGATTGGGTTATCTGACCTCAATAAAATGTCGATAAACTCAAAGTAGAACCCAATCGAACTAAACCAAAACATAAAACTCAAAACTAGAACCCAAACTATCACAGTTGAACTAACAAAAAAGAAAACATATCCAAAATAAATAAATAAACAAATCACAAATCAATATTAATAAATGTCAGCAAACCCTAAACCAAGAAATGTGAGACACTAACCTTTCAAATGCAATCAAAGTTGGCACAAATGGGTGACCTTTAGTTGCTGAAAATCCTGTTTTGCAACCACTTTGATTCTAAAAAATTATAGGAATGAATACACTTCAATTTCACAAGAAACCAGGAAGTTGGAAAATGTTTTCATTCTCAAGAAATTTTCAATATCTTGCTTCTTAGGGTGTAAAATCCTCTAAGATCAAGCCTAGTAAAATATGCTGCCTAGCACCTCGTCTAGGCTCCAACTAGGGTGCCTGGCTGCCCAGCTCGCCTGGAAGCTGGAATTTATTTATTTATTTATTATTATTATTATTATTATTATTATTATTATTATCATTGTATATGCTCAAGATGAAGGTTCGATATGGGAATTGTAATGAAGTTTTGTTCATGAGATTCAGATAATTTCAGGTGCTAGCTTTATTCACAGGAGCTTTGCTGGAAAAACAAGTGGTTGTCATATGCCCCAATTTGGTGAGTTTACTTTATATATTGGGTTGTCCCTTTAGATGTATGAGTACTTGTATGTCTGTTGGTTACTGCACGGAATAATTCAAGCAAATAGTAAGTTCTACTCATTGCCTGGTTTTTTTATCTTATTCATCTGAGAACTGTGTTGGTTTCAGGGTATCCTTTCAGCCACTGTACTATCAATTATTCCCATGATCCGTCCATTTGAGTGGCAGAGTTTATTGCTTCCTGTAAGTTTGATAGTCTTTAATGAACATGTTGTACTTTTGCTTGTGTGCTAGTAGAATTATATTTTCTCTTTATAGGGAATCCCAATCTATTCCGACCCATCTCTCCCCTGCCCCTCCCATAACAACTCCCTCTCCCAAAAAATTCTCTTGCTTGTGTGGCAACCTCTATAATTTATCCATAAACATTTTTCATGCACGCCTTAAAATGTTCATATCATAGGTGTGTAATACTTCTTGTTAATGTAGATTATAATGCTTGAAATTAATTTTCCATTTATGTGTCGAATTCAGGTGCTTCCGAGAAAGATGCATGAATTTCTTGATGCACCTGTTCCATTCGTTGTAAGTATGATTCTGTTTTCTACCCATCTCTGTGTAAACTGGCAACTTTTCTTATGTTTACAGTTATTCTTTTCTCATAGACGAGTTAGTACTTTTTTATGCATCATATTATGTCAATGAGAGCATGTTGATTTTTATTTGTCATGCTTTATATATGCAACTAAAAAGGTATAAACCAGCTTGATTTGTGTGCTACTTTCTATTTCCTACATAATTCTGTATAATTCTTGAACTGAATTTAAACTTACTAATTTGTTGCTTTGGCATTCCTTAGGTTGGCATCCAACATAAGCCAGCTGAACTGAAGATGAAAACTTCCAATCTCATTCGAATTAATGTGTACAAGAATCAGGTGAGTGACTTATCATTCCAGTTTTATTGTCTTCTGAAGCCATTTTCGAAGAATGTATTGGTAGGATCAAAATCATTCTTTAAGAAGAATAAATTGCAGATTTTGGAACTTGCAGATATTTTATTTTGGAAGAATTGCATATTTTTGGAACATGCAGATATTTTATTTTGGAAGAATTTCTGGTTTGGATGCTTTCTTATATTCAGAAGGGAGAAATGCTTGACATTCTTATTTAGTTTATAATTTGAGAGTTTGCGTAACTTTGTTACTCTGCAAAGTTACGGTGCTTAGTAACGGGTATTTTACTTGCTGAAGCCTTCTGCCATTAACCTTTATGCTGGAAATTGAGAAAAGTGCTAATAGCTTTTCTCATATGCTGATTTAGAATTTTGTATCAAGTTTAGTCTAAATGCATGATGCTAGTCTGTAGCCATGAGTGGTTAAGTTATCATCCTTGCCATCCTACTTCCATTTCAAATTAAACTTTCTCAAGTTTATGTGATCACAATTTTGTAAATGCTGGGAAGTTAACTTTTCTGTGGTTGGTTATGTGTGATTTTCAGGTAAAGACGTGTACACTGCCTTCACTTCCTCGACAGCGGGAGCTTGTGTCAGAATTGGCACCGATCCATGCAAGACTTGCATGTCAAGACTCTATTGCTAAAAGGCATCCAGTGCATAAATGCAATGAAGCGCAGGTGCATACAGTTAAACACTCACCTATTGAGAAAGTTAATGAATTTCTTCTTTGTACTTTAGAAATCATCAAATATTCTACGATAGATGCGCCATGTATATGGAATGTGTTTTCTTATGGACAGGACGTTCCTATGGAAATCATTTAGTTTCGATTATGAGGAATAGTGAGTGCAAATGAAAAAGAGATATCTAAGAATGGGTTGGGGTAGAATTTTTTGGTCTTGAGGGTTCTGACCATTGTTTTCAGTAAGAAAGAAAGAGAAAGAAGCACTACTACAGGGTGTTGGTTTCAGAACAGCTTCCTAAAGAGGGATAAAAATGGGGTGAAGAATTAGACTTGGCTTTGTTTCGGTCTTCTCAGTACTGAAAGAAAGCAAATTTCACTTTGATTCTAGGTTATTTAATGAAAGATGCAATAAAAAGGAGAAAAAGAGTAGGTCATGTGGCTTGTTTTGGGCACAAACTTCAGTCGAAGCACACACCTTCCGCTTAAGAACCAGGGATGTCTACCGACAGGCCAAACCTTAAGGGTCCATACTGTAAAATTGGAATGGCATTCTTTTGTCTTGAACACAGCAGAGCTGGTCTTATCCTTGTGGACCCATTGGGTTTGGAAAAACTCTCTGCACTAAGTTTTTAAATATCTCATTAGTTACTGACAGTACAATTTCGCAGGCTGAAGCTGCTCAGCTCTTTCTGGGTGTCATGAGGGGGTACCTGGAGTCACTTTGCTCAAATTTGCGATCTCATACAATTACCAATGTACAATCAAACAATGACAGGGTCGGTAGAAAGCTAACCAGAGTCGGTTAATTTTTCTGCATGTTAATTAGTTTTTCTGAATTCCGTGATAATGCAAAGTTCTCTTTCCAGTGTCTTAGATATATGTTTATTTCCCTTGTTGGGTTATCTTTCAGGTTTCACTTCTTCTTAAGGACAGTTTTGTCGATTCCTTCCCTTATAGGGACCGAGCATTTGTCAAGGTATATTGTCTATATCTGTGTGCCATTCTGTGGTGAATGTTATTCCTGTGTAGAGAAAAGAATAAAAAAGTGAGTGAAAGATGTTGTCTGTACAGGACACCATCCACATGGATAAACTATGAAAGTAAATAAAAGGAGGAAAAGAAGCTCATGTGAAGTTCATATTAATAGTACATGCTTCCAATTTCCTCAAACAATTTGAATTTCTTTTGCTTGCTATAAGGTTGTCTTATTTTGAGCTCTTCTTGTACTTCCTTGTGAGTATATTGTTTTAATCCATTAATGAGTTACTATGAGATTGAGTGTAAATGTTAGTGCATAGATGTGATGTCGAGTTTGAGCTCTCTCTCTCTCTCTCTCTCTCTCTCTCTCTCTCTCTCTCTCTCTCACACACACACACACACATGTGTGCGTGTGCATCCACACGCACAGGCATTCATGCGCACATACTGATCTGTTGATGGTTGGGGAAAAGAGCTAATGCCCTCATAAACATTATGGAGAAACATAATCAACAGTACCAATCTGCTCAATGTGTATATTCCTCTCTTATAAATGCATTAATGTTCTTTTTTAATTACTGGTAAAGAGTACTTGCATTAACTATACATTCACCACTATATTGCAGCTCTTTGTAGAAACCCAACTTTTCTCGGTTCTATCAGACTCGCGGTTATCGAGTTACGAGAGCGAACAGATTTAAAAGCCCACTTCTCCAAGCTTGTACATGATCAGTTTATCACTCCAAGATGTACAGAGATAGTCCCACATACAACACTGTAAAGCCCATACAATCCGAGGGATGCAGCCAATAATGGAGGAGGAATGAATAGCCAGAGAGAGAGAGAGAGAGAGAGAGAGAGAGAGAGAGAGAGACGAACG